GGAAGTATGGATCTTGACATTGTCTTGTAGAAAAAATGTTCCAGACTGGTAGCAGGAAAGAAGACCTTACATGAGAGTCTAAATATAGGACTTTGATGAGTATCCCTTACTTGGAGCAGCATCATCTCGATACATAATCACTAAGTCTGACTGGCTATCTAACTAATATACCCCTAGACTATTTGTGACCACTTTGGTTTGACATGTGCTTATAGGTTGACCTTATCTTTATCATACATTTGACTAGGCAGCCTAAAGAGCCAATCATTCAGGATAGAAGGATTGTTTTATACAGTAGATTCATCTGAGTAAGTACCCTGTAAATTCCGATTAGCAAAGCTTTCTAGAGTTTCTAGAGAGAAGAGATCTAACCTCTGCAAGCATTTGGTCCTTTCCTTTCAGGATTCTTGCTTATGCTAGGTGCTTAGCCACATCAAGCGGATTTAAAGGAATCTGCTTCTTTTCACACCATTTACACCGGTACGAGTTCCCAAGAGCACGGCGTAGGGTAGAGACACTTATGTCAACAGGGCTCTCTGCTACAAGTGCTTTCCAAGGGATTCTTGGATGTTGCTTGACAATCTGCTACACGTATCTCTCCTCCTCAAGCATGAGCTTCTTTAGCCTCCTAGATCAAGAGTGTACACCTAAGATGTTGTGGTCTTTCTAGTGTTTTACTGTGCATGAGATCATTCTGCAATCACAGTCAAAGTTGAGCGCCAACTCAGCTGGTAACCTATCAGCCTCTCACACTGCAACAATAGCTGCGCATTCGACAGAAGTGAGATCTTTGCGTGTTCCTCCTAGGGTCCAACTCTTTGCACTTAACCTATACCAATAGCAGACATTCTAGAGTAGGATTGATGAAGTTGTGGATATTTGGGAGTGGGGGGGTAGTAGTGGTTGGTCGGGTAATTTGAGCTCAGATTTTTTTGATGGGACGAAGTGGGACAGTACTTTTGACACATGAGTTTACAACAACGACCACGCGAAAACCCTCCTCTTTCAGATAAATGTTAATTGGCTGGAGTTATAGCCGATGGATTTTACGGTAGGCGACCGTGGAGAGGATCCTAGCACAGTAATATTAGTAGATCTAGTGAAGCTGTTATTCATTTCGCCCCCCCATCTTGTAGGTATCTGAAAAAAATGCCAGTGTTTGAAAATTTCGATTAATGTATTTTGAGAGGAAAGCGGGTAAAGCAGATCCCTTTTCCTCCATCTGGGCGCTGGCCGCAAAACTACAGCCTGGGCTTCCGCCTCTCACTATGATGAAGCACAATTCAGCCCGCCTTGGTCATAGCCCTCGAATGTCTTGATTTCGTGCATTAGGCGGGAGCAGGTACCGATCAAGTGGGTATCGCGGAAGACCGTGCTTGCCTAGGTTTGTTCAGAATTCCTAGCTTCTCCCAAAGATGGGTGTACTTACCCGAGTTTGGGGATGCGTTAGTGGGCACTCACTGGCGATAATATCATAGAAAAAAATCCCCGGCAGGCCTCATCTTTATGAGACGACAAATGCAACTGCAGTGTTGTCACCCCGTGTAGGCTTCGAAAGGTATGGAACCCCGTTTCCTTCCCAACCTCTGTTTCCAACGTTTCATGCCGGGTATCCCCGGTGTCGGTGATCAGCACATCGCAGTCTGGTGGATCGAGTCAATGCCGTGAGCGTCAGCGCATCCACCCGAATATTTAGCCCTCCTGGCGCTTACGACTGTGCTGATATCCGGAGAGAAGCACCGAGTAACAGTATCAGTACCGTAGCTCAGAGGCCCAGTATACGGGAGCTGCACTTAGTGAACCGGGCGCGCAGTCCTTACGGAGGGCTGGAAACACCCTGCTGCAGCCTCACAAACGTGACTGCTAGGGAGTCTTATCGTGTTGCACGACCCTTTCTTGCTTGCAGCAGACTCTCGATATAAGATCAGGCTGAGGCTCGGGGAGAAATCGGGAAGGAGTGGTGCTTCTGGGAAAGAGCTCTCAGAGTTTTTCTTGGGGACGGGGAAGGAGGACCTCTTGGGCCCAGCGTTTGTCCAAACCTCCCTCCTTTGCTCAGAAGCAAACGAACAACCGCGTAATATCATACGTTACGACATTTGGTGTGCAGCAGGCGTGCCCGTGCCCAATGTCGACTCTCCTCAGCACCCTATCTTATCAAACATCAATGACTTAATAATAGTATTATCATACTAGATCTTGGCTCATGATAAAGCACTCGGAAAACGGTCCAGTTAGTCAGTTTCCCCTTCTTCACCTGACAACATCTACCATCCTGCAAGTGATGCCCGACCAAGAAGTTGAGCACAATGCCCAGACAAGGTTACCATAAATCGCAAACAGTGTAGTCCTCCATGATGCACTTATCAATGCACAGCCTTTCACGCCCTTGACTGTCCTTTAGTGATCTATAGCCCCTTATAACCACCCTCTCTTTTGATATTTCTATTGCGGCAATTTCTCTGGAGACAAAAGCCTCTGGCCGTCATCAATTAGCAGTAGTTGATGAACGAGGAAACGACCAGAAGAGCGAGAGGGACTGGAAAAGAAGAAAGTTAAAGGAAAGGCTATAAGAAAAATCCTAGATATGATTGACACGCGTGGGGGGACGGAGTGCCTAGTGGAGTCGGTGAAACCCCTGACGGATGCCTAATGTTTCCGTAACATCTGGTGTCTGAACTGATCTTCCTGGGGTGAGCAGCCTGCTGTCGTACTAGTATGGAACGCTATATTGCACTGGTCCGGTGAAATGGTAAATAAAGACAGGGCTGGGTGGAAGTGAGATTTATGGAAAGTAAGTTTCAAGTTGATAATTCTTTTCACTGGATCACAATACTTTTTTGAGTTTCGAAAGCGGAGGGAGGGAGGCTTCTAAACTTGCTCCGAAAGGGAGAGGGAATATTGCGAGGAATATATATCTTTTAACAGAAGGGTCAAAGGCTATTTCAGAGCTACATGGATATCAATGGGGGAATTGAAGAGAGGTAAATAAGGTAGAACCCCTACCTGAACTATTCCTACGAACCCTCTTACTAGGTATCATACCTCGCTCGAAAAGGCTTGGAATTAGTGTGATATGACGTGACCCGACAAACACAAATATCGGTTGCTATAATACATCTATTGTTAATTTCGCAGGTTATCAGAGCTGGAGTTTCGGCCGAGGTTTTTCCTCTCCTGCGGAGAAAAAAATTGTTGGGGAAGTTGAAGTGACAAACTAACCTTTTCCAAACCGGTAACGAGACTCCTGTTCTACTTAGTCTTTTTTTTTTTCTTCAGCTCCTGCCTACTACTTCTGAGATCTCGTATTCGCTCCTCTTCCTTTCTCAAGCTAACGATTCTCTTCGTCTAGGTCTTGCCTCTAGCGTCCTTGCTATCGCAGGTCTCGCTGGTTCCGTTCTCGCGGCCCCTGCTATGAACGCCTTTGGGCGTAGAAAGATTCTCCTCTCATCTGCTTGTCTGTTCGGGATAGCAGATCTCCAGGAAACAGACTTCCCAAATCACAAATTATATACCCCCCCCCCGGTATCTTAAGAATATAATTCATAGAATAGCAAAACATTTAAAGCAGGGGCCATGGCCTAACTATATAGCATCACGGCTCGGATTCTCCTCGAGCACAATACCTTGATTCCTCAGGTGAGAATAAAGAAACCTTACACTCTCAGAGCGGACGGGGTGGGGGGGGATGCGGGAACTTTATTGCCAGTGATTATTGGCAATAACTTTAAAAAACGTAGCTATAGTAACTTCTCGGGGATTCCTGGTCCCGATTGATTGACCTAACTGATACATTTATCCTACCGGAGCCTGTGAGGAGGGGAATAGGCACTCGACGCAGGCTTCATCCAACCTGCCAAAGACATCAGAAATCCCTAACACAAATCGGGGTGCATCACACAGGAGCAGTGGGCATAAGGGAGTTATGAGGAATGAAGGGTATTGCAAGTTCGAGCTAACTGTATCATATAATACCTATCAGTGTATAGCACCTGGCTACTTCGCCAATTACCCGAATCCTTCAAGTTTTTTTCCTGTGCCCGGCCTAATACACCCTCGCCACACCAGTTTCTCCAAGCACGAGAATAGGGAGCAAAAAAGTGAAGCTGCTATTGATACATACTCCCCTTTTCTTTAGGTCATGCCTTGGGCGCTGCCGTTAGCCCCTCGTTCACCAGAGAATGGATAGATTGAAATGGTGTTGAAGCTCCAGCACATCATGCAGCTAGTTAAATGGGATAAGATCCTAGTCTCTAGTGAGTTCTCGCACTTAATCAAGGATTTCTTCTTGGGAGTGGAGTATTGCATCCTTGGCCGTAGTGCCCTTCAAAATAGTTCTTTCCCCCACAGCTCAAACGGGAGAAGGCAAGAAGGTCCTGAAGCGATACGGCTAACTTGGGGAAGGAAAGCATATTCCTAAGGAATAACTACCTCTGGTATTCTTTCCCTCTCGAGCAATGATACCATGTATAATTTCGGCACTATTTCTAACCCAGTCTCCGGAAGTAATACCCATCCCGGACGAATTGAAGCGTACAAGCATGTTCATAGCCAGTAACCTACATGCCACAATCCACAGAATTTGGCCTAATACCATCACATAAGTGGAAACGAGCGTGCACTAAAGAGGGGGAGGAAAAAAGAGGATAGCTTCAGCCACGGGCGACAGGTGCGGCCCCAGGGGAGTCAGTAGGGATCGACGGTTTTACTCCGTTCGATAACCCTTGGAAAACCCGTTGGGTTAACACCTGCTTGCAAAGAAAGGAAAGAGTTTGCTAAATTATCGACTGCTTCGCTCGCCGAAGTGACTATGCACAGTAACCTAGGTGGTTATGGTTCCCCGGGGGCCTAAGGATCTCTATCACAATATCTCACTCGCAAACAGGGGACGTGACCAAATTACTCCCCATATACCAAGCAAGCAAGAACCCTGTAATAGGAGGGAGGGGAGAAAGAGAGAAAAGTATGACAACCGCATCCACTAAGTAGCCGTGAACACCAAACCCGGGTAAAGCAGTCTATTTTTCGATGGAATCTAACTTTGTCGCCATACACGCCGTTTTTGTTTTCACTTCTATCCCCGCGATGCCTAGACTGGAAACGACACCTGAGCAGCAATAAGAAACACGAAAGCCTCCCCCATCCGCTCTACCGCGATCCCGGCTCCCGCGCCCACCACCGCCGAGGAGAGAGAAGGAAGACTACCGCACCAATCCCTCGTATATCCCCCAAACCACTGCAGAGCTAACCGCCTTCCTGGCGATCCTCAGCCCCAACCCGTCAAACAACGCTCGTCCCTTCCACCTCCCGTCCTCTTTCACAACTACCTTCGCCGCGTGCCATAGATTCCTGTAGCGTCCGGGGGAAACCTGTATCCTAGTCTTCAGCGCATCGAACGGATTCGTGATAGCGGTAGCTAGAGTTGCGGCGCCAGCTCCCGAAAGTACGTTTATTCCCGCGGCGGTACCGACGTCCATTCCTCCACCCTCTTTGGTATGCCAGAACCGGGATAGTGTCTTCTTGCTCTGCTCGTAGAAGACTACGTACAGCCCGGCGTACGGGGCATCGCGGATTGCGGTTGCACCCCAGCCGCTAAAAAAGCCCCGCATTCCTTCAGTTTTGTAGATGTCTTGGCAGGCAGAGGAGAATGTAGGGTATGTATACAGACTGGATTCGTAACGGACTTTTAGTATAGTGACCGGCATCATCAAGTACCCCACCACCGCCCTTGTGCCAGCGCCGGAGGCAAGATTCCCCAATGGTGAGAGTGTAGGTAGGCTGCTGCTAGCAGTGGTGCTAGATCGGCTAGAGAGCCCACTACGTATTGTGTTGAGCGCAGAAAAGTAGAGTGCAGAGCCCACACCTGTTCGGATAGCACTGGGTAAGGTGCCACGCCATAGCGAGCGGATGGGCCGTGGGGATGAAGCGATTTGTTGGAGGGTTCTTAACAGTGTGCGGGTGGCGGAGGTGGTAGGGGGACTTTGCTGCAGGCGGGTTTTTAGCAGGTCCGCGGGTTGGAGGAGGATGGCGCTGAGGACTCCCGAAAAGCCACCGGAAAGGAAGTGGTTTTTGCGGGGGGGCTTGCTGATCACTTGCGTAGTTGCGATCGTAGCGGCGGCGGTAGTAGTAGCGGTCATCTTTAGGCGTTGAGGGAGGAGCAAGTTGCAGTGGGCGCTCCTGGAGGTTTGGGGTCGATTACATGCGGATCGGTAAGGTTGGTGAATTCTGCAATTGGGTGAGAGTCGAAAATGGGGTGCTGTGTTAGGAGGGGGAAGGAGGAGGGGTGAGTTTTAAGGAAGCTTTTTTGGTGGGGAAGGGGGCTTGGCATTGAGCCTCAATCTTCTGATTCTGTTGGAATTTATTGATAGTTGCCCCGAGGGGTTTTTGTCTTGGATGACCATGGATTTGGGATGTGATTGGGATGATAAACTCACCCAGCAACCCTCCGTGATCCTACCGCCGTCGACAAGGAAGAATCAAACAGCAACGGGAGCGAGAACTTGCGCCTCAAATTTGAAAGCTATCCAATTTTGAAAAGAAATTCTGTATCATACATCACGGCCCAACTATATAAAAGGAAAAAACAAAAACGTATCAAGCCTAGGCATCGTTGCTGGGATAGAGAACCTTATCGATAGGCGTGAATTCCTCCTTGATAGACCTCGCGCTAACGAACCTAGTCAAGATATTCATACTTCCCGCCTTGTCGTTTGTTCCACTCGCTCGGGCTCCACCAAATGGCTGTTGGCCGACAACAGCACCTGTGCACTTTGCATCTTTTCCTTCATTAGAAATTTTTTCGTAGGCAAAGCCATGTAAAACTTACTGATATAGAAGTTGCCGGCGGAGTTTCTGAGCGCATCCTCAGCCTTTCTAATAACCATCCTATCCTTGGCAAACACACTGCCGGTAAGTGCATATCCGCCGCCACTCCCGTCAATGGTCTTCATAACACCCTCAAAGTCCTCATCGGGGTAAACGTATACAGCCAAGATCGGGCCAAAGAGCTCATTGTTGAAAATTTTGTGGTCAGGGGAGTTGGCGACGTAGATTGTGGGGTGGATGAAGAATCCTTTGCTGTCATCATATTTCCCACCAACCAGAAGCTTAAGAGATGAATCCGACTTGGCAGAGTCAATCACACCCTTGAGTTTATCGAAAGATCCCCTGTGAATAACCGGCCCAATAAAGTTCTCAAACGATTCGTCTGGAGCACCGACTTTGAGCTCAGAAGTCTCCGCCTTCAGTTGGGATAGGAAGTCTTCAGAAATAGACCTTGGGATATAGAGACGTGAGCAAGCTGAGCATTTTTGCCCTTGATATTCAAATGCACCACGTATGGTTTGTATTACTGCGTTGCGAATATCGGCTGACGAATGAACGAGGTGAAAGTTCTTTCCACCTGTCTCGCCCACAATACGGGGATAGGAGCGGAATCTAGCCTCGACCACACCCTGGGAGATCTTGCCGTAGAGTGCACGGAAAACAGCGGTGGAGCCAGTGTAGTGAAGCGCAGCAAATTCCTTGTGTGAGAGGGCGGCATCGGTTACGGATTCTGCATCTCCAGGCACGAATTGAATAACATTCCCGGGAAGGCCCGATTCGAGTAGGATCTGGTAAATCAGGTAGTTGCTGTAGATCGCAGCTGGGGAGGGCTTCCAGATAACAACATTGCCAAGAAGAGCCGGTACAATGGGTAGATTACCGCCGATTGCTGTGAAGTTGAATGGTGAAATGGCATAGACAAACCCTTCCAATGGGCGGTACTCGACGCGGCTAGACCGCCAAAACACAATATATCAGCTCTCTTCGAGAATGGTAGGACTGGAGGCAGACATACTTCCAAACACCAGGCGAATTCTTCGCTGGCTGTTGCTTGTAGAGTTCCTCAGCGTATAAAACGTTGAACCTCAGAAAGTCTACTAATTCAGTAGAAGCATCTATCTCGGCTTGCCATGTATTCTTTCCCTGGCCAAGGATTGTAGCAGCCATAATGGCAGGTCGGTATTTTCCAGCAATTAGTTCTGCTGCCTTCAGGAATACCGCTGCACGGTCGGCAAATGGTGCAGACTCCCATGCAGGCTTAGCTGCAAGGGCGGATGAAATGGCAGTAGTAACTTGTTCCTTGGAAGCTTGCGAACATGAAGCGAGCGTAGTGGCGTGTGACGAAGGAATGAATTGAGGGACCGTAGACTGTGTAGTGATAGACTCTGCGTTTATACGGAGTGGAACAGAAACTGGGGCGTTTGAACGAAGGGCTTGGATGGCTTCTGTGAGAGCCTTACGCTCGGAGGAACTCGTGGAATAGAGCTTCTACAGCTTTGTCAGCTCGAATCACCAAGAAACGAAAGGAGGGGCATGTGCATTGGGCTCGTTGTCGATAGCTGGGATTTTGAAGGACATGTTTGCTTTCCTAATAGACGGCAGACGGGTAGTTGCAACAGTGATCAATCTCTTGATAGCAGAAGAGGAGTGAAGCATTGTGACGAATTGAGGGGGCATCTACCGGTATATATAGACGAGAGACCAAGCAGTTGCCTCATCTGACCCGAGGAAAAGGAAAGAGGGAGCTTGTGAAAGAGAACTACTCAAAATCATGGGAAAGTGAGAGAGAGCAGGGTTAGCTTGTGTGGGGTGGACGCGGTTATCACCGGATTTTAACACCAGACAGCATGGGTTAGAATAATTTCAATGGAAGCAAAAATGCAACCTTGACGCCGATACCGGTGGGGTAGAGGATAAATATGGAGTATCATAAAGTGAACGAGAGAGGGATAGGTTAATTGTGACAACTGGGAGAGAATTGAAATATCATAGCATTACTCCGGGCAAGACAGGGTTTGACTTATCGATAAAGTTTCCCCGCCACTTGAGCAGACTTGGAAGCTACAGTAGTCTAACAACCGGTGCAAGCGCCCAGTGTTTCATGCTCCTAATCGATAGCCCAGCAGATTCCAGTATCATAGTTTATTTCCATCTCATCCGGGACTGACTGCCTGTAAGTGTTAGGCTGCAAGCACTGGAACCGCCAAAAAAAACATGATTCCGCGAACAGCTACCTCTAAGTACTAGAGCAGCGCTCGGGGCTCCTCCGTAATCCCTTGAAGAAGTCGGGCATGATATCCATCAGTTCCACCCAATGCGGGGGGAAGAAAAACGGCATCATAATAAATCGTCTTGACTGGGGACTATTCATCGAACCATTTCAACTTATCCTCCTTCTTCGTGATTTCCCTGAACACTCTTCCGCAGTCTTCAATATGAATGAAATGAAACTCGCAATCTCAGGCTCTTCTCCCCCAACGAATACTCTCACATGTACAGGTATAACACCGTTACTCTTCGTTAGTTGTATGTTTCCAAAGATATGCACTCCATACAATAGTGGTTTTCTCAGCGAGTAAGGGTTCCAACACGAACACTCTCCAGGTTATCAACGGTAGGAGAAGTCAGGCCACTATTGGAAAGGTCTTCGACCTCACCAAAGTATGCAGGAGGATACAAATGACGGAGAGAGAAGCTATGGTTTTATTCCCAGGAGGACAGCCGAAAAGACTTTTTGAGAATATTGTGGTTTCGTTGCCGGACCAACCGGAGTGAAAAAAAGTAGCATAAAGGACAGCCTCTCTACGGGATCTTGAACTATATTCTGATAGTTATCATACATAGGAAAGGGAATCTGGGATGGAGGTTTTCCTTTATCCATACTGTAAAAACATTTATAATCCGCTATCTCCGCGAGCTCTACAACCTGAAATAGAGGCTCCGGAGAGGAATTAGTTATCATCATAAATTTATCCTAGCTATACCGATCTAGCGTCCACTACTCGAAACACAACAGAACAACTCTATACACAAAATTCCGCATCATCCAAAATCACCCTCCTTCAGCTCCACATCTTCCAGTCAATCAACACCGCCCAATATCTGTATCCAGAAGTTCAACAAACAAATTCCCACGATAAGCCATCCCGTTATCCGCTTTAAAGCCCTCCCTCATCAAACATCCAGACAATATTCACATGACAAACAGCCCCTGCCACCGTTCTTACCCAATTTCCACTCAAAATCCAAGGCCAATCGACATCCATCATCCAACCAAACCCTTATCAACCTCAGACCCCTGTGCAATATATTCTTCGGAAACTCCATGCACGCAAGGAACTAGCCAAGGTGGTAGCTCAATATGACATGCACTGGCCATCGGAACGGCCCGAGACCTGCTACTGTACTAATAGCCAATTATTTTGTTCACTTCCCGAAGTTCACACTAGAACATGAACGATGCAAGTTTATACCTTTAGACCAAGTCCCTAACCCGCACTTGAACTATCATAGGTTGCTTACTCCATTGTATTTGGCAAATAAGTTAGGAAGCTGTTGCTACTCGTATAGTGACAAGAGCAAGTTCACGTTCATAGCTGCTCACAGAACCTCCCTAATGAAATCGCCAATAGTATCGGACCCCCGCACCACGATAACCGGGGAACCGTTTCCTGAAGTGAGAAAGGCTCTGAGTAGCTCGCCGTTTCTAGAATAAGTACAGTAAAGGGAAAAGGCTACTTGTACTTGCAGACTATGTCATTGCAGAATAGCAATTACATATATGATTGTGACAAATAGGCACTTAAGCAACGCTGTAGGCGTTATGGAGACTGCTAATGTGTCCGGTTGCAATGGTGACATTAATTATGGAGTGACAATAATACCCCAAATCAGAGAATAACAAATCACTTTTTTGCAACCCCTTTTCCCTTCCCCCTTCCTTTATCCACAAGCTTCCCGGCATTCTCTTCATCAACAAAGGCCTTCAAAAGCTCCCCCAGTCCCTCGTTTCTTCGAGCAAGCAGCAGAACATCGTCGGTACTAACAGTGGAGCGTCCAGCATGCCTAATAAATGGATTAGTATTGCTCGAAGCGAACATTGAGGGATGAGGAGATGAGGGAGTGGTCAACCTACCTGGCGAATGACTCGAGATCTCGACTAACGTTCTCTGGCCCAAAAATCCTATTAGCGGATGTGAACTTTGAAAGATATGATAGCTTACCTATTTGTGCCCAGACCATCTCGGTCAGAGCTCCAATGAATTGAGGAGTTGCATTGACATTAAGTTGAAGAATCTCCTCATCGACAATTTTACCGATGGAGAACCAGAGAGCTGACTTGAGCCTCTGAAATATTTCAGCAGGGCGGAATGTAAAGTTAAGCAAGAGGAAAGGTAGGGGTGGTACCTCGCGGAGGGCTTCGTCGATAATTGGTTCAGCCATCGGGGACGAGGGGTCCGTCTATCCGAGTGGGTGGATTTATTTATGTGATGAGGAACACGCAATTTGCAGTACTATACCGGTATTTCTCTATGTATCATATGATACAATGACGAGAGGTTTTGTATGTGTTGCGGTTGCTTGACGCGGGCGCGCACAGGATAGCGATAAATATTGAGGGCCCCCGCAACACTTCTTCCCCACCGAAAGCAATCATCCGCAGTACGGTAAGCAACCCCACCACCTGCTACCAAAGGCATCCACCATCTATCATCTTACCCTCCCCACACAAACACAGCGTGTGTTACAGTACAAAAAACTGCCCCATCTCTTTCTCAGCCTGACTGAGCTATTCCTTCTTTCAACCTCAAGTTTCCCTTCTTCCCTACCACCCCAATTTACCCATTGCTCTCAACTTGGCACTACCCCTCCACTTCAGAAGCTCAGAATACTTACTTTAAACGACAACAAGATCTCTTAGTTCTAAAGTCACAATGGATTACGAGTTACTGAATGCCCAGGGTTGGGACGATGATGATACCCCCCCTCCTCGAGAACCCCCACGCGCACCTAGAGCCACGAAGAGACGAGGTGCTAAAAGCAAACCCGAAACACGACAACCAATTCCTGATTTAGTTTCTCTTCCGGCGGATACAAGCTCGCATTCTCCTCATTCAGTCAATGATGGAATCCAACACACTGACTCCTCTGATCGCCCCGCGTCTAATAGAACCGCTAGCAAACCACAGGGGAAGCATCTACCACGGGATTCCAGATATTATACCGATCCTAAAAATGCCTCTGGTTTGGATTCCAAGCACAAAGGGCAGCATTCGCAGTCGAACGCTCCCCCGTCCAGCGAGCGCTCGCTAGTCATGAAAAACAATAAAGGTCATGAGGGTGGGTACTACAAAGGCGATGGGCCCGCAGTGGTTGGGCAGTCTATGTTTGGGGTTCCTGCTCTCTCGAATGTGTTTCAAGATCAAAATGGTGTGGTTGAGGGTCGTGTCCCAGGGCCTGCGGAGTTTGTTGCGGGTCTGGATGGCTTTGTGAGAGATTCGACAAATGATAAACGGGCCAGAGACGGGGTTCCTGCCGATGGTGCTGCTCTCCAAGCGACTTCTCTATTAAGCAATGTTTAATCAGCTAATAGTTACTTTTGTGGATAGATTATATGAGTCTCCCTATCCGACGCCCTACACAATTTGACGAGTCGTTCTTTGGGCTTAGAAATAATCACCTCGCATATATAGCTATAAAAACAAATACGCATCTGTCAGTTCCAGAAAGCTCAGATGATCCCGTAAGTAATTTTATGGTTGGTTTGGGCTTGAGCTTGTTGTTAACTTTAAGTGTAGCGAATCGGAATATGGGGAACAAAAGAACAAGTCGAAGCGGCAAAGCACGACCTCAATGCCTTGATGCAACACATCATGCATGAGTTAGAGACTGAGACCCGTCGTGCAGGTGGTAACTGGGAAAAGGTTAAAGCGGCCCCCAGCGAGCGCAAGCAAAAATGGCTTGACCGACAAACCCATGATACGATGCTACGCAAGAGGTATCGACAACAGCCACCCACTGACAAACCCCTCCCATTCAATGGAGTTTTTGTCTGGCCAACAAAAGAAATTGACCCCCAACAGCCCCTAGGGACCAGCTTCGAAGCTCTTGACGATCTCAGATACGAAAATCGGGTCTACATCACTATGTCCCGTGCTGAGGGCATCTTCCATGTTGCCGGCGAGGAAGAAGCGCTTGTGAACGCTGCTCTTGAACGCATGTTTGGTGTGTTCTGTGAGGTAGCAGGAAGAAATAGGAAACCCAACAGGAAGATGCTTGTCCACCCCCCAAGCCCCAATCCCAGAGGGGCAACTGTAAAATTGATAACGGAGCATGGCTTTAAGGACCGTCAGGTAACCATCAAGCGTCTAAAGACAAACCTCGGGCCTATGGTTCGTCTTTCGGCGATCCCTCCTAAGGCAGAATGGCTGGAAATGTGGAAAACGAAAAGGGCAAAGCTTGAGAGGGCAAACTACATTTATCTGAAGAAGGTGGTTCAGCAAGGACTTAGTGACCTTTTGTACTACAGAGGGCATTCCACTATGAAAGTCCATTTCGGATCAATGATGCTGTTCAGCTACAAGGCGCCAGAGTGTGAAGAATTTGAGCTCCTCGAGTTTTGTGAAATGGCTAAGAATCCACAAGCAGCTGGGGAGCTTATCAGACAGTAAGCGATCACCTAGGCAGAGTTGTTTCAAATACAGTTATTAATTCACTTTAGCATTGGTGGCGAGAACGTAGCGAAGGAGCTCATTCATGAATGCTTCGTCAGGCATGACCTATTTCAGCCTACCAATACTAGCGACTTTATGTTTAGAGATAATGCCTACGATACAACTATTCCCAATGGCGCATCTACCGGCTTGCACCTCCATGAAACAAATATGGAGCCAGTGTACCATGCTACATTGATTTGCAGGACATACGATGATAAAAAGTGTACTAATGATCTCCGCTTGGATGTGAAATTTGAGAAGATCCCCGGAGTTCATCCAATAGGCGTTGCGAATTCGGCCGGAAATCTGTACAAAGTGGGCACAAGAACATGGATACAGCTTGCGCCTGGGGCAGGGGGCCCCATCAGAGCTGGTGATCATTCCACCAAACAAAAAGGGCCATTCGATCTTAAGGTCATGGATCTCGAAAACGACCTTGCTTGGCAATTCCAGCTCCTCACACATAGCCTAACCCGTGATATTGACGTCTATCCCATATTCTCCGAATTTGTGAGAAAGATCCGAATTGAAGAAATACCCGACGTGCTTGACCCAGTGGGCCCACCCGTCGGCGGTGCCCCTGATCGCAGGAGACTGGTTCCCAGGGTCAGCTATGTTAATCTCCCTGGGATGACGGTTGAGGCCCTTACCCTCAAGACCAAGTATCAATTTTGGATCAAAGGCACCACTTATCAATTCGATATAACCAAGTACGAATATTTCGATACCGACGAAATCAGGTCCGCATATCCTGATGGCGTTCAAAACTCTTGGAACGGTCTTAGGACGATTCCCGACACACGCTGGGGTGCTAGCTTCTCAAATCCGGAGTGGGTCACCACCATGGCTCATCAGAGAGAGCTAGGTATCGGACTTCGTGGCTCATGGAACCCCGACGTTAGCAGCTTTTTCAAGAGCTCCAAAGTCGGCGGATTTGAGCATCCTGATTTCACTAGAACCGGTGCTTTTCACGCAGACCCGTGGAAGGGTGATGGGTTCAAGGAATGCATCACAAGAATCCAGGAGCTCGTGAGGTTCATTGCGGATATCAGAACCAAGGTTGAGAAAAAGGAGGCTGAACGTATTGCTAAAACTAACTTTGCTGGGTGCGAGGAATTTGATGATTAGGCTTTGCCATCTCTCTCTTTCTGCCCAGGGTGTCCTCTACTTGCCCCCCCCCCTTTTTTTTCCCTGCCGTTCCACTGGCTTTAACTTCGGGCTTTTTTCTCCTTGGATCTAGTTTCAAATACCTTTTGCCTCCTTATTTTTTTTTTTTTTTTTTCATCTCCAGTTTGTTGCTTTGAGTTTGCTCAGTTGCCTACTGACGGAAGAGAGGGGAAATTGTATGGCAACGTTTCTCTAGGGAGAAATCTGACTAGAAGTTAGTTTTCAATCAACTAAAATGGGCTCTTTTTTCCTCCTCTTTTCCCCAGGCAGGTTTGCGCATGTGAATGGAATCTTTGAATGTGCGTTACTAGTCACAGGATTTAGATCATGACCTGATGCTCACTAATACTAGAGACACCATAGCTGTTAATCAAGATAGACAAAATAATAACACACTAACAGGAACAGCAGATTGGAAATAGCTTTCCTTGGCACCTCAGTAAACCTCCATTCTATACCTTATCCCGGGCAGGTTTCTAGGTATGATATTTGCCCCCTCAAACCGAGTCAGTCTAGCTACGGTGGCTCCAGGTGCAAAAAAAAAAAAGACCCCTCACCCCCTCCCTCCACCACTCACCTGAATTCTTATTAAAGCCTAACTACTCTACCCCACTTTATCAAGAGACTCTCGTTATTGAATCGCTACATCTGGAATCTCCACTCTATTCTGAGGGGTGATAGATAGTCGTCAGCAGACAGCCCAAAAGGCCCGTAAGGTAAAGTAGGAGGACAGATACGTTGGCTCATCAGTGCAATAACTAGCGCATGCCTAATTGATATTTAACGATCCACAACCAATGGCTCAAACTAATTTAAGTTTTAAGGATACGAAATATAGATAGTAGAGATAGGCTAAAAATAAAAGAATCTAGGAATAAACTAAGATCTGATGTATGATACCATCCTCCGGTATCCAAAATATCAACTATTATCTTGGGTATAGACTCACAGATTTTCCAAGAAATTTTCAAGCTACTAACAGCTAGATGTATAACAGAGATGTAAGTAGACTATTCACCTGGGCTAAATATAAAAGGAATTCAATAAGATACATTGTATTCTGATCTGACTAGTAGCTGTGGACCCGGAATTTCTGTCTCTTTTATTAACTGCTAAATCAACTAGATTATTTTTATCTGTAAAACTACTAACTACTACAGCTCCAGCAATAATATGGGAAACATACTATTAATATGAGCTTGAAGAAGGAAATTTATAGTGTTATTATATATTCTTACTCAAATCCCATGAGTAAACATGAAGTTACTATCTCTCTTACATAATTCTAAATTACTAGTATATTTATCTGTACTAAGGCTAACAACTAATACAAGCATTACAAAAGACAGTAAGAGTATGCTCTTTAATTCAATTCACTATGTAGAACTTAACAAGTTTTTGTAAATCTTAAACCCAGTAATAGTTGTAGAGCTATGATCTTCAAACTTCCCATCTCTCACCACTACTAGGATATTAAATTTATGACCAGGACTATTTATAGCTTTATATATTATAAAGTTATAAAAAATACCCCATCTAATTTAACTTAGTATAATTCAATAAGCTATAAGATTTAAGTTATCTAATCTGTCTACTAGTTGTACTAGTAGAAATACTTTCCTGATATCTCATATTTACTTCAAATTCAGGCTAACTATTTCAACCCTCATACTCACAATTTACCTACTATAACTAGCTCCCTTAGACTGTATAAATTATTTGCTGTATTTTGAATCTTAACTTTATTATCATTTTTACTCCTTTTTTTTTCCATTCTACAACTTGAATATTGGAAGAAGGAATTTAAAATAATCAAGTAATTTCAGTCAATAAGATTAACCTTATAGTACTACATTAATAGAGGAGAACTACCTGCTACTGGTATATTGATTTAAGATTTAGCTTGAGCATGACTCCTATTAGGAGTACCAGGATCCAATAACTAGAAACCATCTTAAGTAGAGTAACCACACTTGGAAATCTGAATCTCTGCTCTCCAACATCCTTCTTTGACCTCCTTACAGGATCCACATGTCATCATACATATCAATCTTACTTGCATCCTGTAACTATAATGCCACAGAATTGAAGGTGTTGGAATAACACTATATATAGTTAGTCGTCAGAAGTGTTCATGAAACATGTATTGCCTTAGTCAGCTCTCTTGTCAATAATGCCAGATCACTAAGTTGACCTTCATGACTATGAAAGTAAATGGTGTCATAAAGCTACCCACAAAGCTGCCCAGGATCATAACACAAAATACACACAACCTGCTCCTCAATTGTCGTTTTTTTTTTTTTAAATCATGGTTTACTAGTCTAGATATGCAAATCCTCTTATATCAGAAAAAAAGCGAATACCTAAAACCTGGTGAAGAGAGATGACCTATGTTGAAAAAGGAATAATAATTGCCTTTTTCTACTGCTTCCGCAATATTACCCTTGTTGCTCAAGTTATTGGCTGGCCCTGGACAACAATTAAAAGTATTTTTGTCCATACATGTGAGTACCAATCTCTGGATAAACTTCCTCACCCTGGTTACACACCTGTTCTCAGATATCAGTGTTGTCGCACAATTGTCTGGGCAGCTAAAAACAACCAAAAAATGACCAGATCTGCCTTCAGGGATAAATCTGTGGTGAGCATTTCCTTTTCTACTAGTAATTCCCCCTGGTACTAGAACTACCATGAGTGATAGACTATGATTGATTAACTAATATCAATAAAAATAGTGGATAGAGTACTCAGAGAGGGCAATATCAAGAAATAGCTTGCTAAATCAAGGCTTAGGCTCAAATTTGAGCATGTGGCTAAGAGATTAAGCTAGGCTACAATTCCTGAGGATTGGACAGTAGAGGATTTTGAAGCAGTAATTTGGAGTAATAAGTGTAGTGTGGAGAAAGCCAAGGATCCAAGTCAGCTATGGGTATTCAGAGAACCTGGAGAGAAGTGGCTAGCTGATTGTGTTCATCTAAAGAAGAAGGATAAGGGAATTTTACTTATGGTTTAGAGATGCTTTTAAAGTAAGAGAAAAGGTCCTTTAATTTCTATTACTCAAAATATGAATCTGACCAGGTATGTTAGGCTTTTAAGAAGACCTCTTTTTCCTGTTATTCATCAAATAATTTCTTTTGGCATACAAGATATTCTGTTTCAGCAAGACAATTCTCCTGTTCATAAGGCTTATAGTATTATGGATTGATTGGAGAGAAACTCTATTGAGGTGGAGGAGCATCCCCCTTATTCCCCTGATTTAAATCCTATTGAGCATGCATGAGTTGAGCTGAAAAAGCACTTGCACTAGCAGTATCCCAGGATTGCAGATACCCTAGGAGGAAATGAAGCTGTTAAGTAGAGGTTGGCATATATATTACTATTAGTTTAGGAAATAATTCCTAATGAGTTTTGTAAGAAGTTGTGAAAATCAATACCTGATAGAGTAGCTGCAGTTATGGAAGAAAGGAGAGCTTATACAAAGTACTAGACATTGATATTTCTATTTCTATTATTAAATTTTAATTTATTTACTGTTATTGAAGTAGTATTGATTGTTTATGTAACGTGTTCATAAGGTGCTAATCACGTTATCGGCAATAGATACGATAGTTGGCAGGTGGCCTGCTCTTCCAGAGAGGAGGCGAGAGCTGAGAGCTAAAGGAGGGTTCGAGGGTGTACTGAGGAACAAGAAGTAACCGTTCAACCAAGTATATTGAAATACTGTCTGTTGAAGTCTCCTTTTCTATCATAGAATCAGGTGGTCTTTAAATACACAAATCTGTTCATATCTAGCATGAACGAAACTAAACAAAGGTATCAATCAATACACTTTGGTAAAACTAATTAAGTATCAAAATGATACTTAAAACAAAACATATAACAAAAACAAGTATCAAATGATACGTAAAACAAACCAAGTATTAAAGCAATACTTAAAACAAAACATATAACCGAGTACCTGTACCAGTTACAGCTCACTTGTTTGTTTGTTCACTTATTCAGTGGTTCACTTTTTTGTCAAACTCGCACACGTTGGTATCGCAACCCTACTACTGTTATCCTACTATGGCACCCTATGGTGCAATTACTAATTAAATATGTCTCGAATTATGAATACTTCTGATGACTAACTATACATTAATACCATCCATCTGACTAGATCCTGTTGGCAGGTTATACGAGAGGGGACCTTTGGCTAGGTCTGGGAAGTAGAACAGCATAAATCTGTCAACTACTCAGAGAATTACTAGGCTTCAAGAATGGAACATCTGTGACATGGGCCATAATAACAGAACATTTTCACGCAAAGATATGATATTGAATGTTAGAGGATCTCTATAAAGAGCCAACATATTCTTATCTACCATATAATAATTAGAAGAGTTTAGAACTCCTAGAAACACCACCAAAGAAGCTAACAAACTTGATAGAGTATTACAACTAGGTTCAGGTATGTGTTGTGATTGTAGGAATTATCTCCAATATCAAACAACTAAAGCCCTATATCTAAAATGACTAAGAGTTGCTAACTGAGTGAGGTATTATCTACCAATATAGTAGAATGGCTTCCTACAAATGAGTAGGAAGTTGTTCAGAGAATATGTGTTGATTTGATCAGGAGTTATGGAGGTTTAAAGTCGGTAACCTAAGAAGATAGCATCTATGACTACTCCTGCAGATACAACCTGTGGATGAAACTGATCATTTCATCTATAGGAGAGACAACTGGGGCTAATACAGTTTGACTTGAGAACCTGGATATAAGTCTAACAACTCTGAAGATTGGATAATAACTATTGGGAATAGTAAAGTTCCCAATTGGCAAAATAGTAATTACTGAAGAGGCTATAATGGTTTTCAGAGTCTCCTAGTATTTGTACTTCAGGAGAATACCTGATATTATGAGTTATAGTTAAAGTGGTACATAATTTGTATGAGTGATATATGTAGCCTATGAACAC